CTCACCCGGGGGGGGGGGGGGTGAAGAACTGAAAAGTACCTAAAAAAGTTTCCCCCTCGATATGAGGAAGGACGCCACAAACCGCAAATCGATATCATAATTAGAACAAAAGTTATGGTCAGTGGTGCGTGACTTTTGAATAACCCTGTATATAGGTCGTTATTGCCCCCATCAGCTTTTCGGATTCTCCATATCCTTAACTATACCATGGTACATACAGGCAGAACATAATTAGGTAACGACTGGAAGTCAAAATCCCTTCTTTTCCAGAGGTAAGTGAGGCCACTGGAGCAATTCTGGAGGAATAACAGCCTGTGCAGGTGAAGGCTTTCATGCGCCCTCTAACTCATTAACGTTTTTTTAGCATTGATTTTGCGAGCTTAAAATGATTTTTACTTACTAACTTCAATTAAAATTATTGATGGGTGCAATAACAGCCTGTAAAGTGATTTTCTAAATTAAGGAAGCCTTTTATGTGTCCATCAAATTGATAACGCTGCTTTTGGTTCGCCGGTATCGCTGATAGTATTTGCTCACTTATTTTGCATTAATTTTGCGTGATCATAATGACTTTTACTTACTAACTTCAACGAATATGATTGTTGGACGCAATAGCAGTCTTTTAACTGATTTTTCATATTTACTATACTGCTGTGCAAACCGAAAATGTATCGCAATGTCAATCTTGCATCCTTCGATAGAAGGGTTGGGTCACCCAAGAACACAAAAAGCAGGGTACCTACGAAGCACAGTCGGCGAAGTATATCATATAGAAAACTTGAAATGCGTTTATCTCACAACGCAGTTTCCAGTTATAGGCTGTTATTCGTGCGGGGACTGTAGGGTCCTCAATTGTAAACATGGCTGAAGCCAAAAACACAGACAAAAACATTTTACTTCACGAGGTTTTCTCCAGCATTTCACTCTGTACTAATGAAAGTTTCAGATTACTGAGAGTTGACAGTATCAAAATGCGCCACAGGTTAGATTAGTACATTCTTGGCTTCCTTTTATTATCTTTACAAGTAAATGTTTTCTCTATACTGAGTTAAGAAAGAATGCAGTGAGGTTTATGAATGAAAGTGCAAAGATACAAATTGAAAACCAGCATCTTTGACAACACATAGAAATAGCTATAAGCGTAGCATCTGCCTTGTGTGGACCAAAAAGATAAAAACACTGCTAACAGAACTGAGGAGAAAAAAAAAAAAAAAAAAGGAAAAAAAACCAAAAATAAATTGACGGTGAGAGTTAATACAGAGAGGTGATGAGATTAATATTCAATGATATACTTAATACAGTCCTAAAATAAACTATAACTGTCGAGGGGTTAGATGAGATGATCATGATGAATTCATGCCAGCTGCTTAAAATAATCAGAGGGAAATTCGTGCATTCAAGAAATACCTAAATAAGGGTCTCAGATTATTTGACAAGTGTTCGCTTGAAATAGATTCCCATGGAAAATGTTTGCTAATTTTCGAGAGAATCAATTTTTTTTTTTGCTAACTTTGAAAAACAAGTGGGAAATTTCTACTAACAATGCTTCGAGGCAAGGAAATCCGGATTTATATAGTTTAATTACAAATGGCACTACCTATTACTGGAGATTTCAGGTCAATTATGCAAACAAATGGCATTTCATAGAGAAAGGCTCTACACTGGGGTGAGCCTACGGTAAGTAATGGTGAAACTTTGTTTTATCGTCTCAAAGCGAGTCCTTAAGGAAGGTTATTTACCTTCTTCGCTGAAAAGTAGCCAGCAGGTCAGTTGAAATTTTGCTCTTATTGAGCGTTCAAATGCCAGTAGTTCAGTCTGCGGAGATAGCACATAAGGTGTCACGCAATGAATCTTACGATCTGACGGAACCAAATTCACCAGAGAGTGAATGAGTAAATGAGTCATGAAACCTAGAATTTTCAGTCGAATAAGAGGCTAACACATACCTTTCTTATGGAGCAATGTGAGAGGGAGAATGTAGGAGTTTCAGAGTAGAGTGTTATAGGGAAGATTTATGAAACTGTCGGTGCCGCAAAAAATCTTAGACTTTGAAAGTAAACAATTTTCTGCTATTTCAGATATCTTAGATTTTTTGACACCTAGTTAAACTCAATAATCAGAAGTTGTGAGCTACTAAGGATGTGATGACGACATCGCTTTGAGAATAACAGATATTCAATGATCAAGGATACACTTGAGCGGTCCTTTTCATAATTTGTAGCGATGAAGTGGAGATAATTAAGAAGGTACAAATCGCTGCGCTTGAACTGTGCAAAATAATCCTGTCATTTTTCTATGCTTTTCAACATAAGTATGCAAATCGTGTTGTAATTGGTGCTTGGGCACAACTTCAGACACTTTCAAACTCTTAAATTTCACAACACAAACTTTACGAGGCGGATGGCTCATGGACGAAAGAAGAAAACAAAGGAGTAGGCGAGACGCGAGAAGCAAATACAGAAGAGTGGTGTCATCGTCATCTGAATCTGAATCGTAACAGTACCTACAGAAAATGAGTATTGATCTTATTAGGCCAGAAGAGTGCCAGCGAGGCCAAAACTCATGAACCATTCAGAGACGGGCAAAAGGGTGGCAATACTCTCCAGTACCAAGGTGAAAGACACATAACCTAGATGTAGGCGAATTCTAATAAGTTCCGAATAAGGTTATCACCGGTGGTAAAGTTTTTCGGAGAAAAAAAACGCGAATCCTGGACTTTCAGAGATGATTATGAAGTAACTATATATTACACAGCGAAAAGAGTTTTAGGACTGTTATTTATTTCTCTTGCTAATTTGTATTCAATCGTATTCACAGAGGTATTATCAGGTAATCAAAAAAAAATTTTCAAAATGGTGTTCCGGGGATCGATGAGTTGGTGCGCCATTTGACCGCTGGAGCGCCCTACTAAACTAGAGCTCTAGTGGCAAGTCGAAAGCAATAAGCGCCGCCTATCTGCTGAGCGCTTGTAAAGAGCGTTAATTAAAAAAATAGCCCATTTTTAACTTTGATCGAAATTCGGAACCTCACTAAGTCAAAATTATTCGTTGGTATTTTTCATGAGCTTAAAACACATCCTGAAGAGTGTTTTGGGTCTTAGCCGTTTTCTTTTTTAGGAGAGGAAGGTCGAGAAAATCACCATCTGCCAAGAGCCTGTAATTTTTAGTGAATTCAATTCATAAATATTCAAATTTATTTCGGAATCTCAAGAAGTGCTCCAATTGAGCTCAGTTTCAGAGATCAGCCTTCTTCTGTGTCAAATTATAGTATTTTCACTAGCCGTCACGCAAAAATTACGCTCGTGAAAAATTATGGGGTAAAATGATAAAAAAAAAACGATGAAATTAGAGGGTACGAAAATGAAAATGCTAGATTCGGAACCTCAGAAATTTGAAATATTTTTATGCGATTTGGACGAATGCTGATCATTTTTACTCTATAAGAATATCCCCCCTAGCCCCAAACGATTCTGAGAAGAAAAAAAAATTCGGCCCACCCTACTCTACACCCCTGTTCCAGGAATCTTTTTTCCATAAAACATGAATTGATTTTGAACCCTCAATGTCCAGAATTGCCACAGAATATATAAAAAGAATTTTCCTGACACATTTCGGTGAAATGCCCTGTTGAAAAAATGGTATCTGGTTAAAAAGACAAAATTTGATATAGTTGGCGAGCAAAATTTTTGTTCGAGTCATTAAACCCATTCTGGAGAGCAAATGATGGTAACTTAACAATTTTTTCCTGACACTTTTGTCATTTTCCCATTTGTTATTTTCTTTACCGTTTTCAGGTTTTCCCTGACATTTTCTGGTGTTTCCTGACTGTGGCAACCCGAGTGTCAAAGTAAGTTGAAATATTTTGTTCCTTTCAATCTTGATACGAAGAATCACTCTGAAGTTCGAGTGGAAACCTTGACCATCAAGATACCTTCCCCTTCCCCCAGAGGAAACAAGGGGGCTTTTGAAAATATGAAATTTTAATGTCTCAAGGTCAATTTCCAGTTTGTCTGTAGTTTCTGAAAATAACCAAAAAACAAGCTTGATACAGGTGGTCTGGGGCGCTTGTATGTGTTTTCCCTGCAGTTAATTTATCTTTGACAACTAGTTATTTTACAAATAGGAGGACAAATTTTGAATAAGACTGTTGCACAACTTTCCAATTCATCTTTGGAAAGTAATTACGAAATGAGAATACCTTAGGGTACGGCTCATTTTCGTCATGTCGGAAAATCGACGAGGTCCGGGTGGCAATCGGTGCTATCTATGAAAATAATAGGCTGTATTAAATTTGAGCCAATTTGAAGCTTTTTTAGCTGATGCTCAAAGGAATCAAAACTACGAGGCAAAATTACATTGGTTTAAAGGGGCGGAAAAACGCCTGATCTGCGAAAATGCGTTTTTTGGATCTAAAATGCGCTGAAATGAAGAAAACCTGACCCGCTCTCAGAGAGACATCTAGGAGCCCATTCGAGACGAGAAAATCACACTTTTGACCCATGAGTGAGGGTAGGGGGGATTACTCGAGTACATGATAAAATATATACACCAATTTCGTTCCAGGCTCGAGAAATAGTATGGAAGGCAACATTGTAAAGGGCCAAGTATAGTTCTCAAGGGCTATAACAACTATTACTAATTATTTCTCATCAAGTTGTGAGATACATTAGCCTCTTTAACTTCGGAACACTTATTTTGAGTTTGATCAGAAAGTCTTTAAGGCGATCACTTAGCTGCGGGCACAGCGCCTCAAAACCGGCTACGCCGTGACCCCCCTATCCCCGCTCATGGGTCAAAAGTGTGATTTTCTCGTTTCGAATGGGCTCCTAAATGCCTCTCTCAGAGCTGGTTAGGTTTTCTTCATTGAAGCGCATTTTAGATCCAAAAAACGCATTTGCGCAGATCAGGCGTTTTTCCGCCCCTTTAAACCAATGTAATTTTGCCCGTAGTTTTGATCCCTTTGAGCATCAGCTAAAAAAGCTTCAAATTTGATACAGCCGAATTTTTCCATAGATAGCACCGGTTTCCACCCGGACCTCGTCGATTTTCCGACATGATGAACATAAGCCGCACCCTAGAATACCTGTCCTTTCCTTTTTCATTTAATCAAGTTTTAACAAAGAAAATGACTTCAAAGATGCAAAAAACTCGAACTCAATTTCAATTGCAAAAACATCACACCAACAGATGGCATGATGTCAAGAGAAGAATATTAGAATTTGGGTCGATGTGCCATTAACAAAACTATCAAATGTACAGTATTACACTTTATTCAACCACGAGGAGCACAACGATGAGGTTCACACAGGATTTCACGAGGACGTCAATAGGAGAATGCCATTGGGAATCGATTACAACTATTCAGAGAAAAAAGAAGTGATGCAGAGAGCCATGGATGGCAGCACACTGCAGGAAGCGTATGCAACACGCTCAACATGCAGTCAAATGAAATTATGTCATGATATAATTTTAACAAAGAAGTGACCACCCTACACTCATCCACCCACATTTATCATCAGTAATGTCATTACAGTTTGAGAAGAACATTTCGGCCTTATTTTTTTATAAAAGGAATCACATGTTGAAGATGTGAGTTGTACTGCGGCCATATTACACTGGATTATGGACGGTTGAAACCATGGGCTGTTGTCTGATAAGACGCCATAAATAAATTAGAAACGTTCTTCTAATTAGCGCAATTTTAAGCTTTTTTTTAGTCAGAAAAGCTGATTCAAACTGCAATGAGCTTGGAAAACATTATTTGCTTAAATTTACTTAGGACGCAACAAGGTTCGAGATAATTCCTCATCATGCAACAGTCCCATTGTACAGGAGAGTTCAAAGAGGAGACAAAAATTTAGAAGATATGGAAGTTGATTTTCTCCTGGACTCATGTTTTATTTAGTGTTTTAAGAAAACCTAGAATGCAAAATTTTTCAAAGAAACGAAAAAATACTAACCACCATTTTTCAGGAACATCGTTGGTTTGTTAGTGGGAGTAGAACACGTTGAGTACATTAAAAAAGTTGAGGCAGGATGCGAGGGATGTGGAGGAAGGGAAGGACGTTCGAGGGAGGAGCAACGCTGAGGTAAGGGAGGTCGAGAGTAGCGCAAGGAAGTAACAGACTTATATACAGGTTCGTTGGATGATAGATCACCATATGATACGTTAGGCAATTGATCGTACAGGGAATTACTGTTGATACTATTAACAGCAGGGATTTGAGGTGAGATTACAGGAGTCGAGGGACTTGTTGGTTGAGACTGACTTTCTGGATTCGTAAATGTGTAAACGCTAAGAGCCACTCGCTGATGTCCTTTTTCGTATGCTGTAACAAACAACACATCGTACAACAAACAATGAATAAAGCTGATTAGTTATTTCTATTACTTTTCCTCTTTTGTTCTTCCTCGCACACCAGCATAGTCAAATACTAATCAGCTTGAATAAAAACCGTCTTGTTGAATTTCAAAATGTATAATTTACCTTCAATCACAAAACTACAAGTCTTTCAGTAAGCTTTTTTATTTTCGTTCCGTATTAGTCTTGGATGTGTTGTTGATCCATTGCTTTTAATTTCTTCTCGGCAACTATGTTGGAATCAATGGTGTACTTATACAGCCTTCTACTCACATAATTTATGTCTAACCATCGTTTACATATGTCCTAAAATATTTGATAAGAGGGGGGAACTTTTCATATTGTGCATAACTACATCAGCACGCTGATCATTGAAATTGATAGACAAAGCTATAGACAAAGAAGACAAAAGGAAAATGGAGCAATCCTATCGGGTCAGAAATGGGTGTTTCTTAAACTTCTAAACTGAGGAGGAAAATGATGGACTAACTTAATGTAAGGTCTCTCATCAGTTGCTGGTAGATAGTCTATCACTTACCTCCTTTAACCATTACAACTACCTACTTCCACCAATAGTATCAATCCATTTTCCCTTTATCTATAGATTTGTCTATCAACTTCATTAATCAGCCCGCAGTTGTTGTCTAATTTTTTTTTATGTTCCATTTTATTTAACAGAAAACTAGAAACCATTCGTCGTTTTCAGAGAATGTTTTTGATTCATGGGAAGTCATTTAAACGTTTCAAGGCATTAAGTTGTTACAATCTCTATTGGGGAATAAAATAAGCAAGTGAATTGTGCAAGAAATTCATTTTTGGGCTGATTCAAATAAAATCCATCCCGTTGTCAATCAAGTTAACAAATCAGGACTCCAACAAAACATGTAGAAAAATAAAAAAGGTACAGTTAAAGATAAAAAACCGCATAAAGAGCATATGCCTTGAGGGATTTGGTGCCTACACCAATCTCCCATTTCTTTATTGCACTGCATTCATCTATTGATCCTTATCGAAAGTTACAATACACTGATTTAGTGACTACATCATACGAAATCTTGGTTCAAACCAAAAAAACTGAAATGCAAATTCTTCATGAGTTCATAGTGTTACGTTCTTAAAATTTAATCATTGACCGCTTCTAAATCGATTAAAGACTCATTAAAGACGAGAATTTTCGATTATAAGAGACATTTGGATGCATTTTACCACCATGGCGCAAAGGGTGCAAATGGGATCAGAAACAAGGTTTCATGTTTGTTGACATTTGACCCAAGGGTTCGATATTATATCAAATAACGTGGCCACTAAGTCAGTCTATTGTGGAGAGTTTCTACAAGCCACCGATTGCACATAATTTGCGGTTAGTGCAGAAGTTTTGATATTTTAAAACTTAGTAAATGAAGACAAAGCAGCAATAATGAGTTAAAGAGATCTCTCTTTCTCTCAGCATTCTCAAATGGGGCTGGTTGTATGGCCTAATTCTCGGAAAAACCCAGTGGAAATTTCGGAAATTTGAAACGCAGTTAATATTTTTTAACGTTAATGTGGTGTACCTCAACCAAAAGCCCATTGTGTAAAATTAAAAAATTCCGATTATACTATCTTCATTGAATGATTTACATTAAAAACGAACTACAGAAGAATAAAAACACAAATACTTGCAACCTGCAGGCAATCCGGGAGGCGCAGGTGACCTTGAGACTCGGGAAATACAAGGTTTCCGCGCGCCGCTTCTAATCGTTTCCCTAAGATGAACTTGGGCTTGTTTTAAACCTTATGTCCTCTACTGTCATTTAGGGTTGTTTTTGTTTTGCTCCGTGCAAACCGAATGACCGAAAATATCGAAAGACGAAAATTTACGAAAGGGGGACCTTGAATAATTCCCCCAAAAGTGGGTCAAAATTTAAAATGTTATTAATTTCATACATATATTCTGAAAGCTCTCATTTTTCTGGAAATTTTGACACCAAGATCATCTTTCTACAACAAACCGTTGAGAAGTTATGCTACTTTAAAGTTTGTGACTTTGACCCCCCATCCCCCCTTTTCCCTGGGAGTTAGGCAAAAAATATGACCAGTTTTGAGTGTCCGGGAAGACCCTCTTTCATCCCTGAGAAAATCGTAGGATTCCGTGTTTAGGCCGATTTGGCCGTTTTGTTGTAGGGTCCTTTCCTCGACATTCCCTGATTTTCCCAGGTCGTTAAATATTCCCTGACAATTCCCGGTTTTCCAGATTTTTGGCCACCCTGAAATAATTTCTTCCACGTGATAATTTCCGGAGATGTGTTAAAAAGAGAGATTCCTTTGAAAATGATGAATGATTTGCAGTGAAAGCTTAAGTAAATAAAAAAATAAGTGTTCTGAGATACTACATAGAATAAAATGAACACAATATCTGAGGGAGCGTAAAAGAGGGAAAAATAGCTAAAATGCAAAAGCTGGGCAAAAAATAGTGTGGTGAAATTCATGCAAATTGTGGGGTGAAGTACAAAATGAGAACGATTTTATCTAACTGCAAGTGTGTGATACTTAACATTCAGAGGAAATAATAAGAATTGTTGATAAATTGCATCAAGACTTGCTGGAAAAAAATTTACCTGCAATTGAAAGTAGCTGAAAGGTGACAATTGGACCACGTTAAACAGAAAGGAACCAAGCCACATCAGCTATTGCCAAATTTAATCGGGCAATTTAATTTTTTACATGAAAACGGTTGCGCGGATTTTTGTGCAAATTTCTATGAATTTTCTCCAGAATACAAAGCAAATTCCCTAAAATTTTCAAAGGAATTCGCACAAACGTTCTCTCTCAAAAAATAAAATTCCCTTGTTAAATTTGGCAATAGCTGATGTGGCTTGGTTCCTTTCTGTTTAACGCGGTTCAATTATGGCCAACTTTTTACTGTAAACAAACAAGAATTGGGGAAATGGAACAGACTATACGGCAATATTTTAGCTCAATTATAAAAAAAAGGGGGAAAGGGGTAATTATTTTAATTATTAAAGGTGAGATTGAATGTAAACAATTAAGATTGAAGTTAAATTCCACATCTGAGAACACTTCAGCTGATTTCAATGCAGATATTGTAGTAACACGGCATGCAAATGACTTTTTCCTTTACATTTTTTCTTTGGCCTCTAGGTAACTGATAAAGTTGCTCTCATAAGTGCTCATATACACTGAAAGCAAATTCTTCTTTAACTTGTTAAAAAATGTCACACTATGAGAGAGAAACTGAGATTAAAAGAAATCTCTTTCATTGTCAGTCGAACAACAGTTACAACGAAATGCTGCTTCAGTCAAAATTTTGTCTAGTCTTTCGTCTACCCGACCTAGCAAGATTCCACTGAACAAGCAGAGAGGGTGTCCTAGACACCAAGTTACCAAGTAAACCAAGTTACTTCCTGGTTATTTTCAGTCCGACCAAGTCGACGCCCTCAGAATTGGATGGAGAATTGAGCCAAAGTAATCTAGGGGTTGCTTGGAGTCAATGCCCTATCCATTTCAGGGGTCTTTGACTTTGTTCGACCAAAATTAACAGATGAGAAAGCCTGGTGGAGGTGGTCTACTACACCTCATATAATAATATTCATGGATCTCTACATCTATGGTACCATTTAATTTCGGTAAAATATTTTTTATTGTTGCCAATGGCCGTTAGTTTAGTTGAAATTTACATTCAGAATGTGCGACCGGGAACTCTTTAATGTCTTTTGACTGCGACAAAAGATACTATTTTCATGGGTTATGATGAAATAATTTTAATTACAAAATTATGCTAAAAAGAACGGTTCATCATTTGCTGATATTTAACACCATATGAATTCATTTCAACTTCAAATGAAGTAAATTTTAGGAACCTTAATTTTAAAAAAGCTGAGTACTTGAGTGGTTGTAATTTATTGTTACAAATAAAACCTTGCAAACTAGTTTAGGAGACAAGTCTACTGAACAATTGAGGAAAGGCATTTCTTTCACTGTACATGGTCGTATCTTGTTACAACATTTTTGAAGGGACGTAAAAAGTAGAATATTGCTCCTGGAAAAACTTATGGGTGTTCAGCCGTGACTTGAGAAAACGATTTTTGTTTCTGGAAAATTGTTACTTAAAGAGGTTTCAAAAAAAGTTTTAATGAGATAGAGCTGTATAAACTACACTGACAGCTGGCTTCTTTCTTAGCAGAACTAACAGGGAAAAACCATTTGAAAATATTTCTATACTCATGCAATATGCATGGAGATAACAAAACCATGGGTACAAAAGGATGCGAAAAAATATGTTGAGAGCTATTTATTTCATACCTGATGATATGGTATGCGGACGGTCGTTCAGAATTGCTGAAGCTGCCCGTTCAAATTGAAGGGTATCTTGCAAGTTCGGCCATGTTGATGTGGGATTATTTGTCACAATTTCCCCAGAAGGTGTGCTCTCACCACTGCTAACCATCTCTGAGTGATTAGCACCAAACTGCTTGGAGAGAGATGTAAATATATTATTTGGTGTATATAAAAGTAATATTGTTGTAACTGTGGGGAAAAAAAACCAAGATGGCAGAAAAAATCAGCTGTCCGAATTCTTCACTAATTAGTTATATAGATTAAAATTTAGAGAGAAAATAAATTGAGTGATGATTGATTCACCACGTCTTCTTGATTTTTTAAGGCCTTGCTTTTAGTATTTCAGACTATGATCATTTCTTCTCGGCCCATTTCCTTCCCTTCTTGACTTTACCTTCAAGTGAAATATTCACGGCTTTAGCCGCACGTCACAAATTTAGAAAACCTAACATTATAAACAACAAAAAAAAAAAAAAAAAACGTGGAAAGGAACACTGAAATCCACAAAAGCAAGGAGCTACAGAATGAATACGCACATTGAAAGCAAAGCCACAATGCTTATCCTATCAGCATTGCTCAAAAAGTGTCTAAAAGATAAGATCAGAGAGGAACATGCAAGCTAGATCCACTGCAATGACATGGACACCGGCCAGTGCCATCTGTTTCGGAAACGAAACAAGAACGGTCACCTCAGTTAAAGTTGTAATATTTTCGTACTTCTATAAACCATTTCTCAGATGTTTTGTTTATCTATGTATCTAATATCCTAAGGCTCTTTTTGTCCTCCTTTGATTTGGGCAGTTAGTGCTAATTCAATCTCAGGAGCTGCTGGACCGATTTTCCTCGAATTTGTTTTAAATGAAAGCTCTTTGGCTGTAGATGTGCCAGCACCCCTTGGTTTTTCGATTTGCGCGACCGATGTTGCAAAATTTACCTCGATTTGATAACGACATATTTGCGTTTTTGCCGCTGGACAGTTTGTGCTGATTCGATCTCGGGAACTACTGGACTGATTTTCCTCGGATTTGTTTTAAATGAAAGCTCTTAGGCTGTAGATGTGCCAGCACCCCTCGGTTTTTCGATTTGCGTGACCGATGTAGCAAAATTTACCTCGATTTGATAACGAAATATTTGCATTTTTGCCGCTGGACAAGTCATACGGTTGGGGGACCTCCAACCCTCTGATTTTTCGTTTCCCTCTCCACGTAAACCCATCCCTACCTGCTCACAACACATGTCACCCTTCTACTGTGGCATGGTTCCTGGGCAGTATCACTCCCTTCCTTATGCTGTCTGACTCGGAACATCAGCAACGCATTTCCTCCGTTGCAATGCTAATAATCAGTTCTCGGTTTGAGCAGGTTTCTTAGTAGTGCGTCTAGAGTTTTGCTTTCTTGATTTTGCCTTTAGTTTTTTTTTACATTAAAATTACTTAATTATGATGTGTATTTTTCAGGAGATAATTTTCATTTTTACGGCAGCACAGGTTTTTATTAATAATGAACTCTTTTACAGCAGCTCATGTGTTCTTCCAAGAGGATTGGTGATTAATTTTCACCCTTTCGCACCGTTAAATTTTCACATAGTGTTTCGATTTTCTTTTCCAGGAGCGTTTTTTATTTTTCAAGGACGTTTCTTTTTCTGGAAGTAGGTGGTTATCATAATTAGTTTCTTACTCTTTGTTTTTGAATTTATCATTTTGCCTCCAGGAAGTCCTCTAATTACTCTAATTACTTAATACTCGCGGAGCGAGTGACTTCGGGCCCAGGGGGCAAAGCCTCAGGCTAGCGGCGCGAGGGAGCATAGCAAGCTGAAGCAGATAGTATTTATAATGTTTGTTTCACTATGTTTGTCATGTGCGGCAATGGTTGTGAAGATTGCAACTGAAGATGGAGTCAAGAAGGGCCCTGAAATAATAGTTGCATGAAATACCAAAAACCAGTTACAAAAAATCGGGAAGATGAAGTAGACGAATCACCCTTTGTCATATTGTGCCCCGATAAAGTGAAACTTCTTAACTTGGGAAATACATTTCATAGAACTCATTGGACTATTAAATTCAACAGACTGCTCTAAACAAATAATGGGTTGCATGGCAAATCATCGGATTTCCAAACATTCAAAAGTGTTTAATTAATTTCTAGGGAACTAATTGAAGATGCACCTAAAGGCAAAAATATAGTCTACACAACTTTGAATTTCCATCATTGTGGAAAATAAAGTGAAATTGAGATGAAAGAAGCAGAGCTTGCAGAAATTCGCCAGTTTAGGAAGCGAATCGTTACAATTTGTTGTTGTTCTTTCAAGATAATGAATTAATTGTAGTTATTCATGAAGGCGTTAATCAAACCAAATGTGCTTTAGAGTGGGATGAAAAAAAAAACCGGGTAACTATTCCGCAGCTTAGAGGTTTCAGTCTGCATCACTTGGCAGAGAAATCATTTAAACATTTAAAAAATTGACAATTTGGCAGAAATTCAAAATTTGATAATAAAAACTGGTGAGTTTGACAAAATTGCCTTTAAAAGTTATGGAGGGTGTTGCCACCCGTTGCAATGGCTTCATCTAGAATTCAGATTGAGTTTGAACTGAATGAGGAAAAACGAAGAGAGAGAGAGAAAGAGAGAGAGAGTAAGAGAGAAAGAGGGGGAGAGAGAGAGAGAGAGAGAGAGCACAAACAAAAGCTTTCAACGGGAATTTTCAGGGAAAATTTTACATGAGGGGTTTGGAAGACAAGGCGCATAAGTGCAGTTTTTATTATTTCGAGAAAAACGAGTTCACAGTTCTGGATTTTACTCAGACCTCTTGCGTACTACGAATACCTTCAAAATTTATAAGTGTTTATCTCATACCTTCATGAACGTTTTTTGAAATTTTTAGCTCATTTGAGCCAAAATGAGGCCAGCAGTTGGGCTGAAAGTGACGGTAGGTCGCACTTATCAACCGTTCCCTCTAAACGATAAAAGCACTTATACCAGCCGCTGTTTTTTCCAGGTCAAATGTGTTCCAGACAAAATTGCTTGTTACTCTGATGGACCTTACCTTCAACTACTAAAAAACATGCACAACTCAATTTTGATCTGAAGCTCATCCTTCTGAGCACACGATTGTATTTTCATTTCCACCCTTCCTGTTTGAACAGGGAAAAACATGAAATGGTCCGGATTTCTGTTTCCCCTTTGCCTTTCCTTCCTGTTTTTATCTACTGTGCTTTTAGTGAGGTCCAGCCGTTTTCGTGTATCTCACCTGTTGAGGCACAGGCATAACGAGCTATGACATGCAGCTTAGGCTGGGCTGGGCTCTAATCTCTGGTCTTGAGTTTCTAAAACTGCACTTATGTGCCTTGTCTTCCAAGCCCCTCACATTAGGATGCAGTTAAAGAAAAAAAAAAAAAAAAAAACCATGGGGCACTAAATTATTTAACTTTACCAAAGCAACATACTTGGATTAAATGGGATTTGGAAGGGTTGGAACAGGGGAAGCTTCAATTTACAAACCTGACTCATGAAGAAAGTTTTTGGATAAAGTGTGTCTTGCGAGGTGAAGCCGGAGTCTCGAGATGAAACACTGCCAAGACACAGCGTGCCAGGGAGGGGAGGACGCTACCACACAACATCAAACTACGTTACAACTAACTTACATAACTCAAAGATTAACAACATGCTGAAAAATTGACTAGTCAATCTTTTATGATGTACAAGTTAAAAATAGAAAAGGCTTTCTATCAGACTGATTTCTGTTCTTTCAACTGATGATCTCCTATCATTTTTGCTCCTTGTCAATTTTTCATTTATCGACAGAAGGAATCTGATAGGGTCACTTGGGGGTAATTCCGGACGATTTTTACACTTGAAACCTAATTTGTACTTTGACCTTTGGTTTGGAGCGGTCAAACAGATTGAATTCAACATTTTTTTTTTAATCAACCAGCTCCTCATATTGTGGAGAGCTAGTTAAGCTAGCTTTTGTTAAAAAAATGTTATCAACATTTTTTAGTGAATTATTTTATAGCGTCCAGAATTACCCCGTTGCATACGGAGTTACCCCTCCCTCAAAGGGGTAATTCCAGATGCGCATCATGGAGGTCATAATAATGAGGTTAGAGAATTATTGTACTAGTATATTGTTACCAACGTTCAGTTGGTCACCCTGAGTGATTTGGTTCTCATTTTTTGTTTGTTTACAAGTGATAACGGGAGTTACCGTGAAGAATCAAATAAAACGTATAACTTCCCTCCAAAAAGTTGCAGGTAAAAGAAATTATCTCTATATTCAACAACCATTATTTCTATAAGTTGTTCTGTTTAAGAATAACCAATTTTGTCTGTTTTTTGAATGATCAATGAACCTCTGTCCAGATTGAGGTGAAACCGGAATCATCCCATCGGAAAAACACCTTAAATAAACGGAATTACCCCACCGGTGTTTTTCTGATGGGGTGATTCCGGTTTAACCTCATTCTGGACATAGGTTCATTGATCATTCAAAAAACAGACAAAATTGGTTATTCATAAGTAGAACAACTTACAGAATTAATGGTTGTTGAATATGTGTAGAGATAATTTCTTTTACCTAGAACTCTTTGGAGGAAAGTCATGCATTTTATAATTTGATTCTTCCTTCACACCCTCACGGTAACTCCCGTTATCACATGTAAATAAACAAAAAATGAGAACCATTGACGTATAATACAATCTAGACCGCGCATTAGGAAATTTCGGCGAGACTGGGCTCCCTTCAAGCGAGACGATAGGCAACCCAGCAACACCCAGCAAGTGTATCGGCGATATGTACCGAGACAATGGTGGAATTCGTGGAAATGCCAGTCTTGCCAGTGCCTTTGCCTGATACGGGTACATTTAGCTCGTATATCCAGCGGTATCAACTAGACTGAAGGCGCGTCTTTGCCCTGATTTACCCCCCTAGCTGTCTTACCTTCCCCGCCTAAAGTCGGGCCCAATGCGCGGTCTAGATTGTATTATACGTCAATGATGAGAACCGAATCACTCAGGGTGACTAACTGAACGTTGGGAACAACATAAAAGCGCGAAAATTCCCTGACATCAATATTACGACCTCCATGATGCACATCCGGAATTACCCTGTGACGGAATTACCCCCAACTGACCCTACCGAAACAAAAATTTCATGATTATTTTCAAATACATGCCTGTCTTAAGTGTTCTTATGTTTCTTATAACTATCTTTGTTAAAAAGAAAGTGCTGATTCAACTGATTCCAGATTATACAGGGTGTCTTAAAAAGGAGCCACCTGGAATATCTGGCGAACAGGTTAGAATTTCGAAAAACGGTAAAAGACGTGTTCGTTTACATCGTGGAGGACACCTTTTGACATATTTTAAATTTTCCTAAACTGCGGGAGGGGCGCAGGGCGGGGAGTGCCCCTTCCGTAGATCGAACTTTTCAAATGGCACCCCCATATTTTTATTTCAGAAATCGATTCTATGCAAAAAAAACAAGCCACCCTGTCCAAACCGGATGTAAATCGGACAATTTTTCAGCGATTGGCAGAGGTTGAAACATTTTTCTAATGCTCTTTTCAAAAAATCCCACGCCGAATGGCATTGCCGTATCAAACCAAACTCTCCGCCAAAAAAACTCTTAAGCAGTGCCCTTTCGATGAAAAAAGAAAAAAACTCATGAGAACATTTGTTTTCAAGAAAGGAGAAGTTTAAACTTTCCATTTATTCTTTAACGGTCATACAATGCCAATTCCAGAAAATTGCCACGCACCGCGGAAAAATAGCGTTCTTAAAAACATCAAGGTCCGGCTCAGATCATTGAAACCCACCTGAAAGGTGGTAGTCCATTTATTTCTCTATTTAGCTGTTTCTCCATGGATTTGGTTTCTTATGCTTCAGAAAAAAGAATGCTGATTCGTGTCCAAAACTTAGTGCTCCCGCCCGATGAGCGCCGGGCGCCCCTCGGAAATGTTCGGTAAAACGCATCTTAATGTCAAAGAAAAGGGCTCCGCGTGCTCCAGTTTTCGAGTACAGGAGATTTTTTTTCTTTTTTTATCGAAAGGGCACTGCTTAAGAGTTGTTTTGGCGGAGGGTTTGGTTTGATACGGCAATCTCAATCGGCGTGGGGATTTTTTGAAAAGAGCATTAGAAAAATGTTTCAACCTCTGCCAATCACTGAAAAATTGTCCAATTTACATCCGGTTTGGACAGGGTGGCTTGTTTTTTTTTTGCGTAGAATCGATTTCTAAAATAAAAATATGGGGGTGCCATTTGAAAAGTTCGATTTACGGGAGGGGCAGCCCCCGCCCCGCGCCCCCGCCGCAGTTTGGGAAAATTTAAAATACATCAGAAGGTGTCCCCCACGATATAAACGAACACGTCTTTTACCGTTTTTCGAAATTCCAACCCGTTCGCCAGATTATATTCCAGGTGGCTCCTTTTCTCCTTGAGACACCCTATAGAGGTAAGTTACACAATAACAATAGATTGCAATGGTTTCACCCCGTCTCACCGTTTTGCGGACTTTAAATGCCAAGTTCTTGTTAAGGTAACAGCACCAGTACCCGGAATGGTACCAGTATCCGGAACGTCGCTCAGTTTTTCGTAAAAAATAAGCGGTAGGTACATCAGTGCAAAAAGGGCATCAGGTTTTCACAAATTACACTCAGAGGGCGCCACCTTGCAATAAGTGTGATGGTCGTGCGCTCCTTTTATTATCTGTGCCATGCTTCTATAGTGACGTACTCACAGAGCGGTTTGTTCTGTGAATACGTCACTATAGATGCATGGTACAGATAATAGAAGGAGCGCACGACCATCACACTTATTGCAAGGTGGCGCCCTCTGAGTGTAATTTGTAAAAACCTGATGCCCTTTTTGCACTGATGTACCTACCGCTTATTTTTTACGAAAAACTGAGCGACGTTCCGGATACTGGTACCATTCCGGGTACTGGTGCTGTTACCTTACTGGCTTAAGAATCAATAAAACCGGCTAGAATGCAAAAAAAATACCAAAAAATGCTAACATTTTGGTTCACTGGGCTCCATATAAAAACATTATTACTTCTTCAAAATTGTTTTGGCTGTGGTATTTTTTTTGTACCAAAATATTGTTTCACACCTTGAAACCATTGCTTGGGGAAGTCTTAAGAAAGTTTATCACACCCTACCCTGGGAGCTAGTCCATGGTTAGATCCCATCTTCTTCAGTCCTAACCCAACAAACAGCCCTGAGTGATGGGGCGAGTCAAAAAACAAGTTCCACACAGTTTCAAAATTGTATGGGGGAGCAAAGTTGCGCCAAGGTATCAAACTAAAGTGTGTCAAAGCATTCATCGGTAAAATAATTTATGCAGGTGCCACTTATACAATGGACCTGTTGCAAACTTTTGAAAGAGCAAAAATTTGAGTTGATACTCATACAAAGCGTCTCAAAAATCACGATGAGCCCATCAGTAAAGTCTGATATGCACCCCTTACTTCACAATTTGCTTAGGTTTGCAATTGGTCGAGCTTCATGCTTCAAAAACAATATCACGACATAGGTGAACATTCCATTAGAGGAGTCATTCCACCCAAACTCTGCTCAAAAGGATACTACGCAACATTCAACATAGCCGACGCCACTTCGCTAAAACGCATGTGACGGGACGATGATTCTACCCACCTGATAACAATCGGCGTGTTTGCATTTACATTTTCCTCACTGATTGACCTCGTGCTCTCCTTAATCTTAACTTGCGCGCGAAAGCGTCGGCGATGTTGAGCATGATCTGAATGGAACGACTCCTCTAACGAAATGTTCACCTGTGCTGTAGTATCCTTTTTGAAGCAGCAAATTTTTTGAAATAAATAAAAAAATAGATATCTCAGAGACTGTCATGATAAACGTTTAGCGCGCGATGTGAATGACGTAGAGCATTGAGTTTTCATGAGCGGGTGGTTTGAATTCACGCATCAAGAATTACTGAATATCTTCGTAAGGAGTTGATTTCGGTAATTTTCGTTGTGCGCATCGTGTTTGACATGAAATTTTCGTTAAGAAATATGTACCAGAATGCTGAAATTCGTACCTTGTCTAGTAGTCCATTCTGGAAAATACAATGTGATTTTCCTGACAATAAATTACATGGTTTAAATGTTGACAAAGTCACAGATAAGATCATAGAAAGCTGAATGTATTGTTCCTAGAAGCTGAGGTTGGGCTCTCAATCTTCACTTTGCTTACCAGTAGTACTTATTAGTCAATTGTAAAACATTAGGTTTCAATTATTTAGAGTAGAAAATCTCTGTGACAGGATTTTCATTTAGGAAAATGAATTGAATCTAAAAAAAAAGAAAGAAAAAAAAAAAAAAAAAAAAAAAAAAAAAAAAAAAAAAACGCAAGAGACAATCCAAATACAGAAATTCACCTATCATACTTAACAACGAATTTATTCTTTTTTCAGCATGACTTAAAAATCCAGCAGGCATTTATTTTTGCCTCATGTATGCCCTCTATCTGTAGATCTTAAGGTCAAGGATGTTATTTTCTGTCACTCACTTCATTCTGTATCTAACATACCTGGGTATCATTTGAAACGATTGAAGTTATTTTGCAATTTCTTAAAATTATTTGTTCAATGAGGAAATAATCACTAAAACCTGTTTTTTTAATCATTTTTTTTAGAACTTCTTCACAAAGTGCTTGGTTTGCTGGGATCCTGTTGGAAAAATGAAAGCTACTAGCACACGGTGATTCAACTGATTTTTCCGCATTAGATCAGTTAGGTATTAACAAAGATTTAGCAGCAAAATCATATCATCAAGTTCTTAAAAATCTACCTTAAAATGTATTGAAAGATTGACAGAAAAACAATGCACTGCATCATAAAAGTTCAATCTCCTGGAAGGCCTTTGTTTCCGAGAAATTTAGCGTGTAGGATTTTTTTTTATTGGGTATTACTTTTTTCCAAAACTACAAAGACCAGTAATAACTTTGAATGAGTTTATTGACTCTACTATGAATTGAAAGGGAGGAAATTGGAGATGTTGGGAATCCTGTGAAGTGCGATTCTTAAAGTGTTTTTAAAATATAATAATATCTTACCTTTTCAGGAGAAGTAGACCCAGTGAATGGTGAGTTGCTGCGAACAGCAATGCCTCGCAGGTTATTGCCCCGTGAAACTCAAGTCTGTTGTTGTGCGTGGGGAAATGCAACTAAAAAATTAGTGCGGGACAATGAAACCAAATTTTTGCAATACCCTGCAGGATTGAAATAAAATTGTTTCACAACCCCGCACCAAAAAATTTGGACTTTCAGTCCCCCGCAAATTAATTACTGATTTTTGATAAACTTACATTCTTTCAAAGTCATCATAAAATTCTGAATGACATTTTCCATTCCTTTGAGTTTCCACTCGGCAATCTGGTCTATTATTTCTGAAAATTGCATGCAAGAAAAAAACAGTTTGCAGCAACTCACCATTCACTGTGACTTTGTGCACAACTTCAACTTTACAGCAGAAGTTTACCTTCGCATCAGTGTCTGGAAAGCAACAAAAGTTACACCGCGTCCCCTGCTGAGTCATCTCTAGGACGCAGATTTACAACAATCAGTTACTTCAGACCACAGAGGATATGAACCGCTTCCTTCCCATATGCAGGCAGTTAAAGTTTAAGTTTGGTTTGATACCTTGGCACAATTTTTCCCCTGATACAATTTTGAAAGTCGATGTTTCTTGACTCGCCCTAAAGGGCACCCTTTGTATGAGACCATCAAACTCAGGTTGCCTTGCTAGGAATCGAAAGCGAAACCTCTAAATAGTGGTGTTGAAGCTACAACAACTACTCCACAGGAAGCGAAAAATTCAAGCAAACATGACATAAAAATACAGAGGATGATCAGGACAGAAACAAAACTTTCAGGAAGGCTCCGCCAACAAATGCTTTCTCTCGAAAAATTAGTATGAAGTACAGGAGGGATCAGCTGGTAAAAATTTTTGACAGCTTATCAGTCTCCTCAGTATCGCTAGCATGGTCAGGTATTCCAAAAAAGTGCTGAGTCAAGCTTGTCCTTCAAGAATCAATTTTAGGATTTTACTATCCGGACTGAATATTTCAGGTTATTCTTAATAATTTTAAAAAGAAAAATTATAAGGTCATTATGAACTAAGCAGCTTTAAACAAAAAAAGTGGCAAAAAATGGAATAAAAACATTAATGTGCACATCATGAATGACTTAGACATTGTGAAAATAAGATAAAAATTTGGGAGACAAATTAAATTATGAAATTACTAGGCTCAAAATCATGGTCACCGTAATATGAGGGCTGGCATTGTGCTGTTTCATTATCAAAACAAAAATACATTTTTTTCTGCTAAAAATGTTCACAGACTGATGTTTCAATTACAAAGCATGTCACATAACAAATGAAAAGGAATCTTCAAAAATCCGAACTTAGCATGTGATAATAAATTAATCTTGGGGGCAAAAGACCTTTCTAATTTTTCCCTTTTATTTAGGCTGGTGCCAAATTGGTCCTCAGGCTGACGAAAAGTGGAAATTGCATGGTCCAAGTTGGTTCCCGAGTGAAAAGGCACATCTATAGTGGTCCCCAAGGATAAGTAGGTGTAACAACAAAATCCTCAAAAGCGGCAACATAGCTTATGCATGCCGCAGTTGAGCCTGTCGATACTGCCTGTCAGCAGGTGAATCTTTTTCGGTGGTGATAAGGGAAGATTGTAAACAAATCTCTCCTCAAGATTCAAGAGGATGTTTACCTTAAATTACGTATTAAGACATCATTCCGTCCTCCGAGTAAGATTTAAGCCAAAAAATGACGTACCTGATCGAAATTGTGAATCGTTCGGCTTCACAGGACATTGATCGCCTCAAGTTTGTTAAGAAGGCATCTTGCAAATTGTTGCCAATTTCGAAAGTGTAACGTTGCAAGGACCTTTGCCAAGTGTAGCCTTGCTCTGACGAGGGCTCCATGTAAGTACCCATAAATGCTTATATTTTAGTGAATATTGCTTAGTCGTAGTGTTTCTTAATGCTTCATTGTGACGAGGGCTCTATACAACCATAACTAAAGGGGCAGGCTACTTTAAAATGCCGACTTTTATTAAAACCAGATATTTGCTGTCACTTGCGTTTACCGCATTGCCGCAACTGTTATTCGTGAATTCGGCAGCTTACTTGGTCTCTGTTTTAAACAGGGATCAACTCAGCCAACTCGAAGTCCAATTCGGATCAGGCCTGACTGCAAAACCCAGTTTTGGGGACTAGAATATCGCCAACATTTATTAATGTTGTGCTCTGTGTCCACTTACAACGTTCCTTCTCAAACAGATGCAAGTTGCCAACACTGAGATAATATAACAGAAAACGAAAGAGCAAACAGGGACAAACACAACACATTCTTGTTATACTTTCCACTGGACTCACTCACTTCTGAGGTTGATAAAAGATAAACGAAATGCAATTACTTGTGAAAGTGATCTAGTCCAAAAGTTGTGGGAAGGAGAATGATGAGACTTGGAACTGCCGCTTGATGAACTGTTCAGGGAACTTATGCTGCACATACTTGACTTTCGAGAACCTAGGGAGCTAGGACTACTCGGGGGTGAGGTGATGATCCAAGATGTATCACTTCCTTTCACCTCAGATATTATCTGGAAATAGGAAATGTATTATCTAGATACATATTTTACAAAACTCTCAACATAGAAATTAATACTTTGCCTGCAAGAGCCATTCCAAATACACATACAAGACAACTCTAACAGAAAAAAAAGGTAGAATGATAAAAAATGGTAAAAGCCGTAATCTATTTGTGCTTTATAATACAAAAGACCAGCGATCCGTGCGTGCTCTGTATGTATGAAACATACAAACCGAGAAAAAAACACTGATAGCACAATCATTACACGTCAATTGGAGTAGTTAACCACAGTCACGGCGTCAGGATTTTGGAATGATGATGCCGGTAAACGCATGTTGATTTCGCTCGAAAAAATGGCCTGCTTTTTGGGCAGCCGATTCGGCCGTCCAACCGAGGTTTCAATGGAAGCTTATAATGACCCAAAGCTATGAGAAAAATTTAAGGATGAGTAAAGGAACAGTTTCCGAGTTACTAAAGGAGGTGTGCAAAGGAGCTAAAATCTCATCCAATTTTTGCTGTTTTCTTGTTGAACTGATGTTGCCGCAAGCCCTTAACTGGGTTCACACATGTTCTCTCTTCAGCATATCAAAACGTATTTATTTTTACACGTTGAATATAATTTTCACGTCAAAGATTTGACATTTTTCGATTCTTAACGTCAATTTTTTTAATTTGTACGAAAAATTGATGGTTTTTTCATAATATTAATTAATTTAATGAGAAAATAAAAGATACAAAATGACTTAACTATTGATTTTTATATTTGCACTCATCTAATTTATTTGTAAAGTCAAAGAGTGAATACATCAACCTGGTGTATCGAATTTCTGCAATTTCTTATGGCAAATCAGGGGATTTTCGGAATGTTGATTGCTTACTTTCAATTCACCAATGAATAAAGCATAGCTGAACTTAAGTGCACAGAAAAATGCTGTAAATAGTAAAATCAAGACATATTTAATGCAATTGAAATTATATTGAGTCAATTTCTTTTTACCTTTCCAATAATATAATGGGATTTACCACCGGTGGTTTGACTATTTCAGTCCAAATACCTTTAACCTATAAATTATATTTGGGCTTTATCATCTATACCGACAAAACCATCCCACGCAAGAGGCCTGATGTGGTCCTTCTAGATAAGAAACAGATAATTGTGCACCTAATAGACCTGACATCTTAGTCCCTGTTGATGCCAACGTAGATGCTAAATATTGGGATAAGATCGGAAAGTATCTGCCCTCAGCAACTGAAATACAGTGACTGTGGAAGCTTAAGGAAGTAAATACTGTACCATTTATAATATCCGTTACGAGGATCACTCCTCATTCTTCCCTTAAACAACTGAAGCAGCTCCACCAAAGTGAAAACGTTCACACCCAAAGTCAGAAAGCTGTGATCCTGCTCACGTGTAATATCACTAGATCTTTCTTAAGCTCAGGGCAGTGACTGAGTAATGTGTTTGCATAGTATTTTACGATTTGACTCTATTCATATTTTTATTTATATGACTAACTGCTAATTCAATAGTATATGTATTTTAAAATTTAACAACTCTTTTAAGAATTTATCAACTCTCAAATTTTAGCAATTTTTACAGGCTCAAGGTTTGAAAGACTTGGCCACGGCCCGTATTTCAATCAGTTTTTATCCAAAAACGTAGTTTTTGTGAGGAACATCCTCCATAAAATAATGAGAATAGAAACTGTTAATTTTGAAGCTTTCAGGGCCAAACTTGCGTCAAAATATCCACATTTTCTTACTTTGTGCGAAGGTACAAACAACTCCATTTCGAATTTTTCGAAGACTAGGTCCCTTCCCAAAGATTCCGTCACATTTAAGCTTTTTAACCCATACATTTAACGTAGCATGTTTCTCTTTATCCTTTTAATTACCTCTCTCCGTATTCGTGTTATTAGATTTCAAGCG